GAACAAGCTTTAAGATGATACCAATAACTCTACATGCCAAAAAAAGTGACGAGAGCCTGATTCCACCACGATGCTTCACATATTGGTCTGTTACATTATTATGTCTAGATGCATAATTTAATTAATCAACAAATTTAATCTGAAAATTAAACTACACTGCACTTCAGGCTCCTCAGTAAAACTGTGCACCTTTTAAATTATTCTGAACCACAATTAATTTTCTCAAATTCCAAAGTTAAGTGGTTCGGAAGTTTTAGGCGGCCAAAGTGACGAACTTTCACAAATATAATATAATAATAATATTATAGAGATAATCATTATTATTATTATTATTGATGTTGAAATCAACCATGGACTATAAAATAGTTCATGAAATCAAGTCTTTGTAGAAACACATTTTAGAGTACTGTTGATGGTAAATCATAATTAAGCAAAGTGTAAAAAAGGAAAAAAAAAATTTTAAGCCATTTTATAATAATTAGATCTAGCCTACTATTGTACCATAATATTTTACATGCCGATTTAAACATTTGACGAGATGCACCAACAGATGGGTTTTTTTGTACCGCTAGAGCTGACTTCATATTCTTTACTGACATTTGGTTGCTACATTCAACGGGATATCAAACCTACTAAAACAATGACTGTTACTGACATTATAATTCTTTTTTCGTGGTTTGAATAAGTTTGTACTTTTATTTTCTGAAATTGAGATTTGACGAAATGAGCTGTGCATTTGTTATTGTGTTCCTGTATAAATTGCATGGCTAGATTCTGCCTATTCAAATGCAACTGCAAGTTTTTATAAAAATATAATAATTTTCTGTCGTTCCATACTCTCCCTTTACTTTCTCATTGATGTGCAATTCGGACTAAGCCAGAACCTGAGACTTGAATGGAGCAGACAGAATGGATTAAGCCACTTACATCATGTGTTATTCTTATCGCTTTCTGAAACTTGTAGGCCCATTCACCGCCGTCACCGGTACTATAAAAAGCGATGCATCCTACACACATAGAATAGTCAGTGTTATAAAAATGTGAATGTTGCTGATTGTCACTGTTTGACTGTTGTTAAAACTTCTTGGTCTTGGTAATGAATTCTCAGGCATAATACAAGTAGAGTATATTGTACGGGCCTATATTGTAACTGTGTGGGAATGGATAAGTTTTTTGCAGCTAGCTTCCTTTCATGATTGACTTATATTTGGCGGTAAATTTTTACTTTCACTCCCGCACACAGATGCACTGTTTCAGGGGTTAAACTGCTGTACTGTTTGCTGCAGATCACTCATAAAGCCACTAAAATTGTCGCAAATCTATTATTTTCAAGACAATTTCAAATCTAACAGTAAAATATCAAATTATGGGTAAAAACAGGGGGGCATGCCCCCCTGTAACCCCCCAGATTTTCTTTTTCCCCAGTGGGGCAGGCCCCCCTGGAACCCCCCGATTGGTCCAAGGCATGTATATCTCGGTTAAAAATAATCAAATATTTCAAAAACTATTAATTTGCGACAGAAATGAAGTTGATATTCGTGTTCAGCCCATCAATATTTAGTAGACAATAGACAACTGGTAGCTGAGTGTGAGACGGGAGGGAAAGTAAAATAATTATACCTATTTGGCTTATAATTGTTTTATTGCAGGCATAGATCTAGATTCTAGATCTAGTTATAATGACACCCTTACTGTTACTAAATCTGTTTTAATATATTTAAGGACTTTGACTTTGATGCTACGCGGATGCTCCAGAAAATTATTCTGACCAGTACAGTGCCATATAATAGTAGACTCTGACAGCATCATGGGTATCGGTAGGTTGTGGTCATTTATAAAACAACATAAGGACGAAATTGTCGAGCAAGTTGACCTTGTCGAAGTCGCAAAAGGCTATCCCGGTGGTTTGAGGATACTTGTGGACTTTTTCAGCTGGGAGCATTATGTGAAGGATAAATTTAGGAAAACTTTGACTTTGGTTACGGAGAATCAGTTCCTCATGTTTGACGGGGGAGAATACGATCTCATAGATTCGTACATAAAAAGTCTGATCGCTGCCCTCCGATGCGTCAATATTGAGGTAGTTTTCTACCTGGATGGAGCGAAAGGAAGTTCATACCACGCGACGAAACAGAAGATGAAGACCTGGAGGAAAAGACATTTCGAGGACCAAAAGCAACTCGCTCAGTGCTTCAGGTTTCTTCGTGGGGAGGTAAAAAAGTTTGTGTTTTGGAAGTAACAAATTTTATGTTTTACAATATCAATAAAAAGGGAAAACTGTAGTATATTTTGGGGCTTTTTTGTGTTTCAAATTGTTGTTTCCACTTCCTCTTCCTCCTTTGTTTAAAAAAGCAGAGTAGGGAGAGTCTTGATTGATTTTCTGACAAAAAGTATTTTATTATATATATATATATATTTATTTATATATAAAAAATATATAGGGCCTACAGGCCTATCCAAAATTTGTTTTATTAATATTAAATCTGCTCAATGTTTCACCATAGAGGCTTCGTCAGGTGCAACAGAGAGTAGTGAGTAGTAGGCTAATGTAGTGATGGGTTCTTATTATATCAAAGGAAATGGGCCTAACAAATGAGGTCTTATTAGGCCTATATTGCATCATGATGCATTTTTATACATTATATTATAACAATGGTTAAATTTGCGTACATTAGATTCCTCTAGATCAGGTGAGAAATGATCATTTGGTCCGGCCGTGTCTTCAAGAAGTTCAAAACATCCTCACCCTGCAAGAGGCTGGCTGTGTGATTCATCAGCGTATCTCTGGTAAGTCTCCTTCACCTCGTCCCCTTCCTTCTCCTCTTCCTCCTCCTTCTCCTCCACCTCCTCCTCCTTCTTCTTCTTCTTCTTCTTCTTCTTCTTCTTCTTCTTC